TCCAAACCTCAACCTGCGAAAGGGAAGCTGTTTTATTTGACTCACTAAAGAGTTTCTCTGGGGAAACTTGACATTCGTTGGGTTTATGTAGCACTACCCAGTGTAGTGACCGGGCCATGGTTATTAGCTATGTGTGTGTATATCAATATCCAAATAGACTTGCGTGGGGAGAGGCATATGGAATGCTACTTACCTCGAGGGCATTTGGAAATTCAGGATGTCTCGCACAAAGGTCAGCATGTATTTATTCATTTCTTTGGGAAGTTCCCCAATGGAGAGCAGAATGTTCTTCACGTCCATGTAGGACGGGTTGTTCTTTAAGATGACAGCGGCGGCGGGGGTGGGCCCAGCCTGTTTCTGTGGTGGTATATCCTGTTCAAGGTCTTCTTCACCTGTTACAGGACGTTTACTATTAGTACACCCATGGAGTTTTAAAACTGATACTGGAGGGAGGGTGACATGGGTCACCAGGTAAAGGAGAGAACTGCCTTCAAAAGGTTGCTCTCTGAACTCATTATGTGTACCTAGGTTCTCTCTCTTTCTCTCTCTCCCTCTCTTTCCCTCCCTCTCTCTTTCTCTCAATAAATTCATGTAACAATTTAAAAACTGATATTGTAGTGAGAATAGCAAGTGCTTATTTAGATACACATGTGTTATTACTAGATTTGCTAGATTCCTTTGCAATTAGGTTGATTCCATGTGACTAGGCTAGCTTGGACCATGAATAGAATTTATGAGAATGGCTCTGAAGCAGGGGCAGTTAAGACCAGTCATGCCTTCCACAGCTCTCTCATGACTGCTGTGAACACATAGCCACATACTCACTAACCCATGTTAGACACAGCACAGGTAGTAGTAGGCTGCAGAGCAACTGTTAGGGTTTGCACCAGTGCTTTGTCTTACCTAATAGAGATTTCTAAGGCTGCTGCCATGGCAGTGAATTTTGGGGGAGAAGGCAATATGCTTGTTCTTATCTCCTCCAATCTTGCCCTTGCTCTCAGAATTGTAGGAGTTCAGTAACTTACCCAAGAGCAAACACCTAGAAGAGGGTCACCCAGAATTATAGCTAGGTTGACCTTTCTTAAAAGCCCACACTACTTGTCATACAAACGTGGTAGGAGGACGCTCAGCTGCAGATAGCATCCTCAGTGGAAAACACTCCCAGGGGAGCACCTAGTGAAATGCCCTCTGCTCTAACAAGATCACAATGTTGGAGGCTTCCAGAAAACGATTCATGAGCCTGTAAGGTCATATAATTCAACCAGTTCAAAACTTTAACAATGTTCTGAAATGTACAGAAAAAGATATTTCTAAAGAGAATTGAGCTACCTGGCCAACTACAAGAATTTGTTTCTTAAAATAAGAAAACGTGTTTCAGGATACAGGACATATCTGTTCAAAATGTGAGGCTGATTTAGAATAACATTAACTACAACTTAAGAGTGATTTCTGAGCAAAAGGGAGTGACTGTGATGAGAAAAAACAAAAACAAAAGCGGAGTGACTTGAGAGAAGGTGGCATTTGGTTTAGCAGAGGGTTTTTTCACTCTCCTTCTGCTAAGTTGTTTACCTCGTCTGTGATGAAGGAGACATCGTATCTCTGGAGTACAGTGGTAGCCAGGTGGCTGACGGGCCCTTCTCCAGCCTCAGCATACTTCAAAAGGAATGGGATGCCTTCGGGAAGCAAGGCATTCTTCAGAGCCAGCAGGTACATCATGGTGTCCTCCTTTTTCTCTGGCTTTTCAAGTCCACCCAGGATTAGCTTCTTGGCTTCAACCACGGCCTAAAATATCACACACCTCAGACAAATGCCCAGCTGCTCACTTAGACAAGAAAACATCAACTTTTAGGAAGTTTGCTCTAGCTGCCAAGTAAAGCTTGCTAAAGGTACTCAGTCTTTTCAAACGTCCGGTTACATGTTCTAATGAACCAGAGCAAAACCAATAGTGGGCATTTAGTCTTTAACACACTCCAATTACAGAAAGTCAACGCACTTTCAGACGAAGCTCAGTTATTCTCTATGGAGGAAACATTCTCCACACCTCAAACAAAAGACAACTGTGGTTTCATATCCCCAGGTCCTTTTGTTCATGGTTTAATACTACAGTATCTTTAGGATTGGCTCCTGGACCTCCTCGTGACACCATAATTCATAGGTGCTTGAGACCCTTAGATAAAACAAAACACTATTTGCATGCAATCTGTAGGTACCCTCCTACCTATTTGAGTCATCTCTGCATTATTTGTTGTACTCAATATAATGTGACTGCTGGGGGAATGGCTATGCTGTGTTGAATACATGGTTATTACACATGCCTTTGTCCTCACTATTTTCAACCTACGGCTGGCTAATCCCAGCTGGAGAATCCCCGTATGCAGAGGACTCACCATATTGACCTTTCTGTATTTGATAAACTGACAAGGAATTCTTTGAGGGTGGTATGATATTCTGTGCATCTTTATATTAAATGATTGGCATCATGCATAGTGCAAAGTCAATGCTCACTAAATAAGGCTGACTGGGAGCTTTTTGCAGAACCATTTGTTCTCAAGAATGATGCTCTGTATTGTATTTAATAACAAGCATTTAGAAGAAAAAAACAACACAGTGTTGCCTCTCTTTGGCAGAAGAAAATGGGGACTGAATGCCAGCTCATAATAAGAATGGGGAGAAAGGGGCTGTATATATTCAGCATTTAACCTTGTAAAACAGGAAAACAAGCTTTTAATGGATTTCACTAGATTTTAATCCACTTGGTTTTCCATATATAGTTATGCTTACAAAGTGAGTTCTTTTCTCTCTTTTTTTTATGGAACAGATGAGAGATTTGATAGCCTACTCAGGCAAGCAGAGACATTTTAGCAAATATGATTAAGATACAAAGTTCTAGGTGATCAGCAGCAAGTAAATTCTTATCACCAAAACTCACATAGGAAGATAAAGTTCCAATCAAGGAGGAAGTTGTGAAGTCCTATAACTTCTAAGGACAAGAACTATACTATACTCACAGCTCAAAAGAGACAAAGAAGATCATTAAATTATGGTAAAGGGTTGAGTCATCAAGAGAACAGAAAGAACTACAGACATACACACGTGCAACAACAAGCATCTGAGATCAGAAAGGAGACATACTGCACCCCGAGAAACACACAGGACTTTACAGATCACCCAGACAAAGTCAGCGAGGAACCACCTGGCTTGAGCTGCACATGGGACAAGCATATCAAAGCATAGGCTGAATATCACATCCAATACCTACAGGGTAGATTTTCTTTTCAAGGACATACAGAAAATTTGCAGGCAATATCAAAAATTAGGTTACACTATAATTTGGGGGGGGTTGTTGTTGTTTGGGGGCTTTTGGAGGGAGGGAGTCTCACGATGTAGCCTTGGCTGACCTGGAGTTCACTATGTAAACCAGAGAGCTCCAGACCCTCTACCTCCTGAGTGCTGGGACTAAAGGTGTGCAGTACCATATCTGGTACACTAAAGGTCTTAACAAATTTAAGAAGACTGAAACCATGTCAAATATTTTCCAGCCACAATTATGTGAAACTAGAAATCAAGTAGCAGAAAGAAATAAGGGAAAATTACCAAATATATGGAAATTGAACAATATTGTCCTGAACAATTATTGGGTCAAAGAGAAACTTAAAATATACCTTCAGGTAAATGAAAAAGGAAATACAACATACTTCACGATCACAGTTAAAAACAGCCCTGAGAACGAAGCTTACAACATACTTGTTAACATCAAAAGGGATCTCCAATAAATAGCATGTTATGTTTCAAATAACTGTTGCTAAGAAAAAAAAAAGAAACTCAAAATTAGCAGAAGAGAGAAAATAACAAAAAACAGACAAGAAATAAGTGAAGTAGAAAATCAGGCAAAAAAATCAATGAAACTAAAATTTTGAGTTTTTAAAAGCATAATAGAAATCAACAGACCTTATGCTAGAATAAGAAGAGAAGATAAAAGACTCAACTAGGCAAAATCAGAAATGAAAGATGAGAGGTTATCACTGATGACACAAACACAAAAGGTCCTCAGAGGCAGCCACGAGGAGCAAGCGGTACACACAAGATACACAACTTAAAGAAACAGCCCAGCTACTTGGAACATTTGATACAAACAAGACTAAACGATGACAAGCTCAGCAGTGTGACAACACTGGTAACGAACAAGACTGACTGGGTCATCAAGTCTCCTGGGAAGGAAGGGCCAGTGACCACATGGCTTCACATTTAAAGACAGCCCTCCTCAAACTCTCACAAACAACTAAAGAGAAGGGAATACCACCGCTGTTATTGTACAAAGCCTTGCGCGATATCAGAGCCAAGGACTACCAGAAGACTAGAAACCATCACTGCTGAATGTAGACTGGAAACTTCTAACAAAGTGACAGCATCTGGGAGAAGGAGAGATGACTCAGCAGTTAAAAGCACTTGATGCTCTCGCAGAGGACCCAGGTTCAGTTCTCAGATCCAAATGGCAGCTCACAATCATTGGGAGCTCCAGTTCCAGAGCACCAAACACATCTTCACAGGCACTAGGCACAAGCGCAGTGCAATTGCATACATGCAGGCAAAGCACCCGTACACATAAATAAATAAACATGAGTACGCTAAAATACCCACATACACATTCTGCATGATTGAAATTCATCCCTGTGATGATTCAGCCTTGGTTTCCCATATGCAAATCAACAAACGTAACTGACCATATCAGCAGAGTGAAGGCTAAAACAACATGGCCATCTCAATAGATGGAAAAGAGACATTAGACAAAATGTAACCTTCTGTTCTGATAACTCTACAAATTAGGTGTAGAAGAAATGTCCCATGTGATAAAAAAGCCCCATGTGGTGAATTCATAACTGACATACTGCACAGTGAAAAGCTGGAGGCTTCGCTATGATCAGGAACAAGACAAGAATGCTTAGTAGGCACTACTATTTTCCATCACACTTAAAGTCCTAGCCAGAGTAATTAGCCAAGAAATAGAAATAAAAGCCATTAAGTGGGAAAATAAATATGTGAAACCACCTGTTTCAAGACCAGATGGCTTTAAACACAGGAAATCCTACAAATTTCACTATCTCACTATTGGAACTGATGAATGGATTTGGTAAAGTGGCAGAATACAATGTCAACCAACAAAATCAGTAGTATTTCCAAATATTAAATGTAATATCTGAAAGGAAGTTAAGAAAAGAGCCTTTCTGCAAGGGTATCAAAAAATATGTAGGTGTATTTATAACCCAGGAAGTGAGCACTGTGTACTGAGCACTAGAAAAATGGTGATTGGAACAACTGAAGATATCACTAATAAGTAAAAGGATATCCCATATTGGGAAAATTGATAACATTAAATGTCTATATGATCCAAAGCCATCTGCAGATTCAATGCAATCCCTATAAACACATCAATGGCACTCTTCAGAGAACTGAAAAATATAGTTCTAAAATCTTTACAGAATAAAAAAGATACTGAATGGCCAAAGCAACTGAGCACAAGGAACAAAGTTAGAGACATCACAGTAATGTATTTTGAAATACACTCATAAAAATGGCATGGTGTTGGCATAAATTTGTAGAAACAGCATTCTGTGGGATCATCCTTGGATACATAAGGTCACACAGCAATGGTCAAATGATTTTTTTTCCCACCAAGTGCCAAGAACATAGAATAAGGGAAAACAGTGTCATCAGTAATGGCCTTGAGAAAATGCACATTCATATACAGAAGAATAAAAGTGGATCCTTAACTAACTCCAGCACAAGAATTAATTCAAAATCAGCTACAGATTTAAGCTTGAGATCTGAAACGGCAAAATGTCTAGAAAATAAAAACATTGGGGAGGGGGCACAGAGTATGGATACACACCTGGGAGTCTGAGGTAGGAGATTATGAGTTTGATGCCTGCTTGAGCGAATTCAAATCAAGCATGAGTTACATAGTGAAAGCCTGTTTCAGAAGCAGTAATCTCCTAATGAAATTCAGTAGTGGAGTCCTCACTAGCATGTTCAAGGCCATGAGTTTAGCTCCAACACACACACACACACACACACACACACACACACACACACACACACACACATTGTCTAAGATAATTAAAGATGAAGACAAAAAATTGCCTGAGTGATACATAGAGAACTATCAACAAATGTGTATTAGGAGTAAGACTGATAGGTGAATTGCTCTCTAGATAGTATTTATTGAGTACAATCTATATACTAGGAATCATTTAAGCAACTGGTGTTGAAAAACAAAGATTTGTCACTGGAGCTGACATTCCAGTGAGAGACAGAAATAAACTAGAAAGCTAACGAGCAACTGAACTCTAAAGTATGTGAGATGGGAATGATCTCTAAGCAAAGAGGAAAAGGAGGACTGGGGGCTGGGGAGTGGCCATGTTGGCAGCATGCCATTACATCGGGCAGTCTGGTCAGCAGGGACATGAGACCAGTGGCACTTACTTTGAGCTTGCAGCCTTCATTCTGACACAGCTTCCTGACAAGGGCTCCAATGATGATCATAACCGTTTCCCTGATGTCGTTGCTCGCAAACGAACCTTTGAACTTACTCTGTGGACAAGCAGGGATCCATCAGGTCATCAGAACACTTCAGCATTCCAAAGGGACACTTTCAGATAATAAAGCAACAAACACCTAGGCAAATGATAGTGTGTTTCTAGACTACAAACTCAGAATTTTGTTTCTGAGGCACTTAGAAACATGGTGTCTAGTTTTGCATGAAATATTACTAGATGCCTGATCCCAGGTGATCTTACTCGCAGTCTGTGAACCCTTTCCAGTTCAGGGATCTCATTGTTCAGGTTAGTCTAGTCTTTATATGAACCTGGGACATCAATGCATTATGGAGAAACAGCATGAAGATTTTTGAAGTCAAACTAATTGTAAGTGTTTATTGACATATAGATGCTGCACTCCAGTGTTTTCTTCTTTGCCACATGGTAAGATAGGTGGCCACAATCTCCAGGCTGTCAAAAAGTATAGGCTGCTCTGGTCACTAGGCCTGCAAAGACCCTAAGCGAGATTTTCTGTGCTGTTGGTGACTAATGCACAGAAAAGAGGCCAGCGAACTCTGAATGTGAGTACCAGGAGGGCTTTCTCTTTGGCCTCGTCTCTGACTGGATCCACTTTAATGCCTACTTATACTTAAGAAGCTTTCTGTTTATCATTTTTTATTTTAGCAACCCAGGGTCACTATCTTCTCAGTGTCCCCCACTTACAAGGAGGGCTCGAAGGAGTTCTTCATCGGGGTGGGAGGCAAACCCAACAGCATAGAGGAATCTCTCCTGGAGAACAATGCTGCTGTCGCTTTTGAAATCCAGAAAGTCCAGGATGGCTTCCAATGAGTCTGGAGTCTGAGCAGAGGTGACGGCATCCACCAGCTGGGGTCTGTAAGACAGGTGTCACTTCAGATGTCAGTGCTTACAAAGAAATTATCACAAACTTGTCACTCACTCACTAGTTTGAACTTCCCAAAAAAGTACATGTTTCCTTTGAACAAAGAACATGTATAAGACATTCTCAAAGAGATCTTAATTCTACTTAATTATTTCTCTTTTTCTCAGAACATAGGAACTACTACACTATACTTGCCTAAGCAAAACACAATTTAAATAGTTATAAGTTACAATTATGTAAATATTTTCCATGTGAGTAATACATAGAGTCTGAAGTCCCAAATTGAATACTTTTCTCTGTTTTTGTTTTTGTTTTTTTTTTTTTTTTGTGTGTGTGGGTGTGTTTTGTTTTGTTTTTCGAGACAGGGTTTCTCTGTGTAGCTTTGGAGCTTATCCTGGCACTTGCCCAGGCTGGCCTCGAACTCACAGAGATCCTCCTGCCTCGGCTTCCCAAGTGCTGGGATTAAAGGCATGCATGGGTGTTTTTCCTCCATGTATGTGTACCATGTATATGCCTGGTACCACAGAGGCCAGAAGAGGGTGTCAGATTCCTTGGGTTGTGAGCTGCCATGTGGGTGCTGGGAAGAACCTGGGTCCTCTGTGAGAGCAGCCAGTGTTTTAATCTCAGAGCCATTTCTCCCGCTCC